AATCTGTGTCTGAGACAGTGCCAGTGTCAAGGTTACAAGCTTGGCCGAGTTCCTCCTCTCTCAGATTGTTTTCCTCCCTCTTCGTGCACTATCTGTCCATGATCCCCTCTACACTACCTGCACTAAAAAGCAAACTATTAGACCATAATCAGACTAAATCTCTAGCAAATCAACCAAATAAAGGCCAAAAACAGACATAAAATGTCGAGTAATTTTAAGCTCATTAATTCTATCCTGATCGATCTGCCATAACCGAGCATCAAGATCGTCTATCTCTGTAGCTTTTGCCTCTAACACCGGGAAGCACATAACAAGCTGGTTCCTCTCAGCTAACAGTTTATCCCGCTCTGAAGCAAGTCCTTGTTTATCAAGGATTAACATTTGCCGGCCTTCAGAAGCAAGAAGATTTGCCTATAAAGAGAAGGTTGAAGTTAGGACTACCATTGTAACACGTAAGCAGAAAAGAAGATAGGAAGAAACTAGTATGGTACCTGCACTGAATAGTGCATACTGTTATTTATCAGGCACTCCCCAGAAAAGGACCCATCTTCTTCCAATCCTTTTCCAAGGCCAACGGCTTTATATAGTTGGCAAGCTCCATCGGCCTGGAAAGGAGATGACACTTCTTTGAAACTGAAAGGTGGCATTTCGCCTCTACTGGGATCTTAAGAAGGTATGCTTAGGTGCTCCCCAAGTTCTCGTGGTCAGGAGACCGAGGAGAAAAGGCATCCCTTTTTTGATCAGTTGGTGCCGGTGGAGGAGATGTAGTTGGTGCTAGTGCTAAAGGGGAAGCAGCCATCTTTGGGAGAGAAGTTGTTGGGGTAAGAGGAGTAGAAGCAGCGATGGCAGAAGGAGTGGCAGTTGTTGTTTGCTCAAGTGTTGAGGACATAGAAAGTCTAGGGTCCGAACTCGGTTAGACAGGAGACAAAAGTATAGGGCGGGAAGCGATAGTCAACATTCTCAACTAATCCCATTCACCCCAAAGCACCTGGACCTCATCTGTCAATGGGTTTTGGAGCTCTCACGGTTGAGCATCCGGTTGAGCTAATGAAGATCTCCTTTGAAGGGAAGCCTCTTCATCACTAGCTTGTCCTTCATCAACGAGGACCACTGTTGCCAGATTGAATGGTGTACTTTATTTGATCTCTTCTCCTAAGTTCCAGCCGAGGAGGAGCGTCCTCTCTCTGGTTTCTTGTTGTCTAACTGGGGACTCTAGGAGGAGGCACTTTCACCGGAGATTCGAGTAGACCCACGAGCTATGTTTTGGGAAAGGGAATTTTGCAATACCCTCCTAGCCTCCTCAGGTCATCTAAGATGTCGAATTCGGGGCAGATGATAGAACCCCTTAGAAGCCCTGTATTAGACAAAAATGGGGCTAGCAATTTATTCACAAGATTTCTTATGTTAGAAAAAGGATAAAAAAAAGGACTTAGCTTACCATGGTGTTTGGCTTTAGACCCGTATTTGGGAGCCATTTTCTTTCACCGCCGTGATTTTGGAGTTGTAATATCCATAATTCTCTAAACCCACTGGTCCAAGCCTTAAACACATGGTGGTTCCCATCGGGTAGCTGAAACGAAGGAAATAGAAAATCAACAAAAGCGGGAAATGACCTTTTCACAAAAAAAGGAAACAAAAAACCAAAACCTTACGAAAAAGGTTCCACGACTCGGGAAAGGATGGAGTTGTGGTCGGGATAATGCCCCCGGTAGAAATAACGATGAACCTCTCCATTCATCCACGATCATTTTCGTCTTTATGCTGGTAATGATATCATGATGACCTCGCTTGCTAAAATTTATTACTCGTCCACGGAAAATCTTGGGAGAGTAAAGGTTCATTATATGTCCAAGAGTTAGGGTTTACCCAGTCTCAATGCACAATTGTCAAAGGCAGGCCACCGTTCGCCAAATAGATGGGCCTTCTTGTTTTTATGCAGTCCTAATATCGGTGACAAAACTCCAAAATTATTGGGTCGAGCCCTCCACTCGACCCCAAAAAGAATGGGCCCAAGGTAAAGGGATACACATAGATATACATAAACCTCTCCTTGGAGTAGGTAACTCACCCTACCATATCTGGGGCGATGATTTCAATATTGGGGCAGTTGCAGTCCTCATTCATAGTTAGGATACTGGAAGGGCGAATGGAGGAGGAAAACCTGAGAACTGGCCAAAATCGGTGGCCTAGAGAAGTTGCAGAAGGAGCTTTTTTTTGAAAGTCGTTTGCAGTGCTAAGATGAAGGGGTATGATGGTGCTACAATTGGAGGTTTAAACTCAACGTTAACCTCCTTGTCTTTGGTTTTTTCCCGTCCTCCACTGAAGAAGATACTATTATTATCAAAGGAAGCATTATATAAAGACATGGTGGTAAGAGGTTGTAAGAGAAAAAGTTCTTGATGAAATAGTTGAAGGTTGTTAAAGGTTTCTAAGCAGATGCAGAGAATAAGAAAGACTTATGAAAGTTGTAAAAATAAAGAAGTAAAAATTATGAGTAGAAGAAATTATAGACGGCAAAACTCTTAGTCATAATTACCTCGAAAACTGGCAAAAATATTTGTTATATCGTGGGGTAACACGTGTTTGAGTTATTAAATGCGAGAAGATGTGGGTCCTTTCAAATATCAAAGACTGTTCAGGAACTTTCCCGCCAAGCAAGGAATCTTCACCTACTTCCCGATAACACTAAGTTGCGTCATCGAAAAGTAGGGGGACTATCTGTATGACATAAAATTAGTTGATAATAAGTGAACAAATGGTAAGATGACACGTAGAGTAGACAAAGGACGAGTGGGAAATATTTAGTACCGAATGCGACGTGTGTGACCTGTACCGGATGAATTTCGAAGGGAATATAGCCGGTGATACAAGTTCAAAGATTCACCATGGGATAGCATTTAATGAGGGAATATTTGCTAGTGTTACTTGAGCAGCCGTTACAGAGAATATTTGAATTCAAGGCTTGCCGTTACATATTCATCAATGATACTTTTATATTTATTTATAGAGGAGCTTCATCCTAGGATGTTGTTTCCTTAGGTAGAACTACAAATAGCAGGGTTAACACAATTGTTAGGACACGAAACACTCTATACCCAAAAGCCATGCTTTACTATTTAGCACTCACTTTAACAACTTCATTGTTGCGTTATTTTTACTTTTACTTTTTCTCTCGATAAGGCCGGGGTCGGAACGAGGCTTGTTATCTTCTTTAATTTCAATTGCTAAATCAAAACTTCATGTCTTATTTCGTTATCATTTTTGGGTCAAATCAATTCGCTTGTCTATAAACCACATTACAAATTCAACTGTACTATTTAACGAGTAAACACTTTGCGTTTTGGGTGGAAAATCACAAGGCCCGTGTAAAAGTTACCCATGCCTTGATCACGAAGGGAAAGCTTGTGCCATCTTTGTGTTGATGGGGTGGGAGACAAGGGTTTGACTATTTTCATGGAAATTATCATTGATAAACTAGCCATCTTAACAAAACCCCTCAGCAATGAATTTTCCTTCTTAGTCTTATATATANAAAAAAATTCTTTTAACCCATTTCTTATTAATGTAAAAGAAATGCAATTTGACTAACTTCTTTACGTGACAATTTGAAAGATTCCAATTATGTCTTCTTGCCAGCAGATATCGAATGTCAAATGAGAGAGGGTAGAAAAAACAAAAAGAACGACGTGCACTTATACGTGTGAATATAATATTCAAATTATTGGTTATTTTAGTAATTCCTGCTCATAAGCCTAAATAGTAATCTCATTTGTAACATTGTTTAGCTCATGCCCGCTACAATTATTTATTGTATTGATTGCCATACGTGATTGATTTGTAACGATTGAGTTTATGAGACAAGTTCCGTGTAATTAGGGATTGACTGATTTTTCTCATATTCATATTATTAATGACCCTTTCCATAAGATTTGGGATTGTCTTCTTATGTTTTACTCTGAAACTATTAGGCACGATATGAACTTGTTAATTCGACCCCAAGAGTGTTTCATATATGATTATTGCATGTCACTCTTTACTTTGCCGACACATATTACCATTTAATAGACCCATATGACGAATCTATTCTCCACTAATACAAGAATAAAATCGTCCGAAGGATAGTAGAGTAGAGAGGCATGTCCCAATCGAAGCATCAGGAGAAAAAAAAAATACTAAAAAATTTGTGAATTACAAGAAATTAACAATATAACATAAAGCAAATGGATAAATTTAGAAACGCATTTATAAACTTATGAATCGAATAGGGGAAGAAAAATTGAATAAGCTCCTTGTCACGTCGTGCACATGTATGAATTTGTTCACTTCCACTATTGTTGAAAGCTTCAATACATTTCTCTTATACTTAAAAAAACGTCCTCGGAGTTGCAAAATTAGTCCAAGAAAATATTATTTGCACAATCTGTTCAAGGTTGGGCGAGTTATTAAGTAAGGCTATTTTAACCCGTCTAATTCAGCCCATCTAAAATTAGCCCAATGTAATCCATGATCCTTATCAAAATAATTTTCCAAAAAAAAAAAGTTTGATTTGATATGTTATACGCCGTCACTCTTTTTCAATTTATATATTAATTTATTTTCTTTTTAGTTTGTGTCAAAAAGAATCCATTTTCATATTTTGAAGTAATTTACCTTTATGTAACGACTTATAGCCACAAAAAATATATGTGCCTCATTTTACACCACAAGTTCAAAAGTCTTCTCTTTTTTCTTAAATTTCGTGCTCAGTCAAATTGGTTCACATAAATTGAAACAGAATGAATATAACTATAATAAAGAAAATTTCTTTTTTATTAGTTTTGTTTGATAATTAAACAAATTACAAGGAAACAAACAAAGAAATTAAAACTTAATAAGAGTAGACCGAGCTTGGTTATAATTCATTGTTTAGCTTATCTTGACAAAACATATGACCCGCTCATTTATTTACTCAATCCATTTTGACTAATTCAAATTCAGCCCAACTAGCCCATTTTACACCCTTAGTCCTCAACATGAGCAGGAGTAGCAAATTCGAGAAGGTCCTTGTCATTCTCAAAAGCGGACATTTGTTGTTCATTCAAGTTGATAATCACTTCTATTCCTTTATCATGTGTACTCATCATGTAAAACATCTTGCTAAATGGACTGCTGGGCATGGTTGCTCTAATAGGCTTTCCCCATCCAAAATCCAAATCTTTAAATGGTATGTTAGATGCACTACTACAACGGTATACATCACAGTTAATTTGGCGATAGGTACCTTCTCCTGTTTTATATGCATGTAGCATCGCCGAAGCCCAATCATTTTCTTTAAAATTATCTCTGTTGGAAAGCTCATGTTTGGACTTTCTTATGTCGGCTACTAACTTTGACACCTTAAGGTCTTCTTTGTTGTTATAGATTGGTGTGGAAAAGATTGTGAGAATATTGCCGATGGATGTTGATGATACTGAATGTGAAATTTCTTTTCGTATATCTGATAGTAGGATCAACCGAGATTGCTCATGAGATGAACCCAAGTTGGCAATAGCAGCACTTTTGTAAACAAGTGCACTGACAACCTCAGTCGTCGTTGGATTTTCGACGCCTGATTCAGCAGCCACCAAATCTTTGAGAGCTCTTATCTTTGAGGCAGAAAAATAGAACCTCTTTTCGAGTTCTATACGTTCTTCTGGTTTTGATACGATTACTGGGAAGGCAAGAGGACCATCAGACGGTGACGGTATTAAGGAATCCTGGACAAAATATGGAGGACATACTAGTTCTGCGTTTGGATCTCGAGTTAATGCAGCCCAATCTCTCACAAAGAAGAGGGCGCTGCGCGCATCGCCCACTTTGTGTGACAGACACACACTGATTGCTATTCCTCCGCACTCAAAATGACTGAGTTGAGATACAATTAAACAGGCACCATCTGCAGCATTTCTCAAGGGTACACCTTGAGGAAATGCTATATTTTTTATGCTTGAATCTTGGTGATAAAGAACTTTATCCATTGGACAATTCACTTCAACATCCAAGAACTTAGCCCCAGTATCATCACAGTCAATGGTAGCATTGTCTCTTAAACTTCCCGCCCATGGATAGTAATAAGTTAATGCTTTTGACAATGAGTTTTCAAGAAGTGTAGAAAGTTGTTTTGGTTCAATTTGGAAGGTATCTACTTGGTGTTTTGGGTAGAAAAGCACAAGGCCCATGTAAAAGTTACCAATGCCTTGATCAAGAAGGGAAAGCTTGTGCCATCTTTGAGTTGATGGGGTGGGAGACAAGGGTTTGACTATTTTCTTGGAGATTATTGTTGATAAACCAGTCATCTTAACAAAACTCCTCACTATATGAACTTTCCATGTTAATCTTTGTCACTATATATACACACACCCACCAGCCTTTACCTCCCTTATGTCGCACTTTTTAGAGGAAAAAAAATTCTTTTACCCCATTTCTTAGTAATGTAAAATAAATACAACTTGACTAAGTTCTTTTAACTGGCAATTTGAAAGATTCAAAGTCAAATGTGAGCGGGTAGGAAAAAAAACTTCGTGCATGCAGTAATGCGTGTGAATATAATTATTCAAATTAGTGGTTATCTTAATAATTCCCGCTGATAAGGCTAACAACTAACGAGCAAGTGGCGTTACCTGCTTTCGTTTGGTATGAACATTAAACTAAGGGGCCATTTGGTGTAGAAGCAAATTATGCGGGGTTAGTGATGCAACTACTGTAATTAAAGGATTAATAATGCAAGATATATTTATAATATAGGAATTAGTAATGTAGGGATTGTGCATAAAGATTATATTTAAAAGTTGCAATATATATAGGTGTTTGCAGTAAATTTGAGCAGAAAAATAAAACTACAATCACAAACAATTATAAAGAAAAAAGAATTTTATCGATAAACATTGCGGGCTACAATTTTTTTTATCCCTTGATATCCCCTCCGATTTTTATCCGTAATTCAAGGGTCTTAGTAGCGTATTTCTCGAACATTGATATATATATATA